GCAGTAGTATATTATCAGGTAGGCAATCTACCTGCGGTAGACCCGTGCTCGTGCTGTTTGTAATAAGTGTATGATTTAACTCTAAAGGATCAAAGTTATACCAAGTTTGTCGTTTTTACTTAATTCCACCTAAATTGGATTAATATAATCAATTAATACAAAATCCTAACCTGACCTAACCGTACAAATATCAGATGAATAAAAAAAAACCAAATTTAACCCTTTTTAAATTATCCCATCTTCTTCCCAGAGGTCTGGGAAACATTTATTTATATATATGTATATATCTAATATATAAAATTATCGTGTCACAATTTTAGTTACCATACTCCTCTGAAACGGCTTGACCGATTTTTATGAAACTTTATATGCATATTCAGTAGGTCTGAGAATCGGCTACTATCTATTTTCTATACCCCTAAGAGATAAGAGTTGTCCAGAAAAAAATAAAAATAATATTATTACAAAAATAAAAATAGTGTATTATATATTGGTTGCTATTGGTTAATCGGGAATGTTTGTTGATTTGCATTATTATTATTATTATTATTATTATTATTATTATTAATTTAAATGGTAAATATTAAAAAATATTTGTGGTGAGCCACCCTTTACACCCAGGGGTATGAAAAATAGTTTACATCACTCTCTGAGACCTACTTAATATACACAACAAATTTCATGAAAATCGGTCCAGCCGTTTCGGAGGAGTTTGGTAACAATAATATTGTGACACGAGATTTTTATATATTAGATAGTATACTTTTGAAGTTTCAAGTACCCACGAATAATATTATACAATTACAACAAAATAACTAAAATAGTTATTCTAGGTTTTTTAATATGTAATTTCGTATGTAATTTTGGCAAAATTCGATCTTTAAATGCTTATAAAAAAAATTGTGCCGATGTATTTTTAATATTTTTCAACTGATATTTTAGCAATATATCAGTAGCCTTGTATTACATTTTTACACTTTTTGGCCCAACAGATAAAACTTTATTGATATTTAATATATACAATAGTTTATTGTGTGGCAAGGGCTGGAAGTGATCAATTTCAGCCACAAGTCGGCAAAGGTAATGCACTATGCAGGGATATTGTTTCGCCGTTACCGATCCTACGGGTGTAGCGGTTAGCGGCAACGACTATCGGGGATGTAAATGGTAAAATAGATTAACTGTGTACCCAAGGCAATTTATAAAATTAATAACATCAATGCGTATTTTCAGAGACGGGCACACTGTACCACAAAACAAATATAATGGTAAAAATTCATATTAACATACAGGTGCAAGGGGTATGATCATACCTAACAAAGATTGGTATCAACACAGACAACACGTAAAAGGACCTATTGCCTAAACAGCGCGCAGACCGCTGCTATAGGTCACATCAGAGACGGCGGTATGTCAATAGCAAACACGCCAACACAATAGTAATAATTTTATTATTCAAAATAAATCTTATCTGGATTCGACGGCGGCGGCGGCGATCAGCTGTTGCTCGAATCCCGGCGGCGACTAGGCCACGGCACGGAAGGGGCGCGGAGGGTCCCGCGACGGTGTGACGGTGGAAGTGGAACGCCTGGATAGTGGTGACTCGGGAATAATGACGTAGCGAACGGCGTTCCGTTGCGCAACGATCGGCGGTAAACCACCAGGGCCGAAATAAACGGCTAGGCCACAACGGAATTACGTAATCGTGCGGTGCGACTAAAACAGACTGTCGCAGTAAATCGTCACCACACCACGAAACACTCGACGATAGCACGACGTGTGACGCGTGTACAATTCACGCGACACAATGATGAGCGCGGGATACGACAACGTTCACTATGGCGTAGGTAGTAGGTAGTAGGTACACACCTCGAACGCGCGACTTATTTGTCCGGCGAAAAAACACAAAAAACACAGACGACGCAGGTAGACGTCGTGTCGACCGGTCGAGCACAGAGATGTGCGTACAACACTACAACTAATTAACTGGCGGTGGCGGCGAGTCGGCGGTGGCGCGAGTACGTATCAGCGGCGGCGGAGTCCAACGATCGTCGCGACGTTATCTGCCGATAATATTTTGGCGAAGGCAGTGTTGCTTGCGTAAACAGATATTCTATGCAACAACCAGACTATTCTACGAAAACAATTTCATGAAAGAAAATTGTTTGCTCGTCATGCAGGGAGGTTATAATATGAATATAAGATGTTGCCCACGATGTAGATAACCTAAAGTTTATGGTTTGTAATGACCGTGGTATATAGTTTTCAGTGTTGCCCCCATTACTTATTCGAGAGGGGGTAACATTTATTTTACCCCCAATGATTTTTTGACATCATAGAGCATACATTTTATACATACATTTATCTAGTTCAGTCTCAACACAAATTAATGTGACTTTCTGGTAATAGGTTTTCTTTTAACTTTTCTTTGGTAGACAGTCGAAAATGTTTTAATTTTCTCAATTTTAAATGAATTTTGTTTAAGTTTCAACTTTAGACCCATATTGAAAATAATATATTGTGGATCTGTGTTCAACTTGACCGAGAGAGAAAATTATTTATCGATGATAATAATTAAAAATAAAAATGTTTAATGCTCAAAAAGAGTCTATATATTTTGAATATCTTGTAGGAAATATCTTTCAGGAAAATTCTTATATATTATATAACAATTTTGTTAAAATATAAAGTTTTTACGGTTATTCATTTTTGAGTTACAACAGAAAAACACAATCGATTTTGTCGATAATTGGTTTTGTGTAAAAATTACTTTTATATTTGTTAATTTTTTTTTTGTTTTTCACGACGCTTTTGAAAATTACTGGGAACTTTTTTACTTTTGATTTTTGACTCAACAAAGATCAACTTGATTCACTTTCCTATCAGAAAAGATGTTAAAGTAGAAATTTGAACCATTTTTACTGTCATAATAGGTGATTGCAGACATAAAATAAAAATAAAATATAAAAACACAAATCGTTGTTAAATAAAATTTTTCATGGGTGCCGGGGGGCCATAACCCACGCTATTTCAGTTGATATGTACTAATTGTTTTATCACTTGTAAAATAAAAAAAGTAAATGTACTGTATTATTAGAGATTTTGACTTTTTACACAATACTATTGATTATAAATACAAGAATTTATGTTTTAATGGTAAAACTATTAATTAAATTATTAGTTATTGGCTATTTCTAATGTTATGACACAGTAGTACAGTACACACTGCACGCTGCGACACACTAGGAACGAGTAGGAAGTCATCTTTCTTATATTTGTACAATATCTTTTTACACTTAGGATTACGATTATCCACCAATTTTGGTTGTACACCCACCCCTTAAAATAGATCATGAGTTCGGCGCCACTGGGTGTCGTTATTATCATTGATTTTACCATGTATGTGTGTGTGTATCGTTGAAGCGGACATCGGATACATTATAATAATACTCAGGTATACACGTGTAAATCGAGTTTACATATTATTATACAAAATATACAATAATATATTGTCTTAGGTACGTGTAGATCAGTCATCAGTACTCCGCCAACGTTCCGATTTCGAACAATATTTTTTTAACGCCATTATTACTAGTTACTACGTTTAGTGCACACAAGCGTCGTGCGTGCGTGTGATTGTATACGGACAATGTATAAACGTAACGTTAAATAATTAAATCGGACGTGATTTCCGGACGTTCCAAATCCATCGTTTCGAATATTATATCATGTGCGTAGGTATAACGTATAATTATTTATGCAAGCGAGACGCGCGGCGAGCGGAAAAACAAATATGAACGACATCGAAAACCAGTGTTGGGTAGTAACGTAACGAAAGTAACGCGTTACTGTAACGCCGTTACTTTGTTTGTAACGCGTTACGTAATTTAATTACAATTATTTTCAAATAACGAAAATGTAATGAAAATTACTTTTGATGAGTAATTTACATAGTATAACGCGTTACAGTTTTAAATTATTTAGTACCTATTGCGAATTTCAAAAAAAAAAAACTTAAAAATATAATGTCTAATGCGGGTATTATTTATCATACAAGTGGTTAATTATTATACGTTCCTAATGTTCTTATTAACTATTATCTATTATTAAGCATAAACTATACGTCTGTACATGCACTAAAAATAAATATTGATGGATAACCAATGATAAATCGAATTATTTACATTGCAGTGTTATAAATAATTATTATTGCTGTTTGGCATTTTACAAGAAACGGTGAAAATAATAAACTTATCTAATATCTTTATTAGTAATGACTAATGAGTAATGACCGAATATTCATATGTACAATTTATTACCACTATTTTTAATAGTTATAACTTAAAAGTTATAAGTAATTAATATTGTTAGGTATGTATTTATGTTATTAACTGTAGGTACATCTTTTTCAAATTATACCATATCTTCTGTAGGAAGTGTATTTCTAGTTCCTTTGCTTTTTAAATGATAATAGCTAAGCAATTAAAAAAAAAAAAATGTAACGAGAAAGTAACGTAGTTACTTTTCTATTTGAAAAGTAAAGTAATTTCATTACAATTTTATTTGAGTAACGAGTAAAGTAACTTCATTACATTTCTCTCTAAGTAACGAGTAAAGTAACTTTATTACTTTTTAAAAGTAATTTACCCAACACTGTCGAAAACGTAGGTCAGGTGGACGAAACGCGACAAGAAAAATGACAATTCAATGATATAATATTATCATTGTATAAGAAAAACAATTCTGAGCGAAAATGGTCAGTCAGCCTACGATATTACAAAGTATATTTTTGATGATAATATTGTGAATAAAGTAATTTATATATAGCCTATTTACGTGGAATCTTGTTTTAAATTTTCAATCCTTAGCTATAAAAGTTAAACATTTTATAAATTTTTAGCTACAAAATTATTATTACATTTTAAATTTGATAAATTTTTTCAAAGTTCGAACTTTAAATGCTTATAAAAAAAAGTTGTGCGACCGTGGTAGACAGTCAACTATTCCGCGGCGCGTCCGATCCATCCCGGAAAGTTTTCATTGAGAAACGTTCGTACTTGGACTGAGAAATGGGCAGGTGCGCCATCCTGTTGCAATGTCATTTGATGACCGGCAAACACTGGACTTTCTGCAAGTTCAATTTTAATATTTTGCAGCATGTCTAAGTACGTCGTACCATTTACTTTTTCGTTTTCAAAAAAATACGGCCCAACGATCGTGCGGGCGCAAATTCCAGCCCATACCATGATTCCCGGGACATTTAGTTCTTGTTGTAGAACTAAATTCGGGTTCTCAAACGCCCAGTAAACGCAATTATGTCGGTTTATACCAGGGCTTAAAACCGTTTCCAATATTATAGGTAATCGTCTCCGTTAGGAGCCGAAATTTTTTTAAGAACCGGTTACCAGTTATCTTGTTCTGAGAAGTGCCGTTTACCGGTTAATGGTTACCTTACACCACAATAAAAAAGTGATTACCAGTTACCGATTTTTAACGGTTTCCAAAATATTTAAATAACCGCTTACCAATTTTAAGCGGTTTAAATACCGCTTTTCACATCACATATTTTCATTTTTGTTATCAACTATGAATTATTTATTATGATGTGTTTACACTTTTCATTAAGTCGTTATATGAGTACCGTGCCTTCGATAATTCAGCGCTGCTGTAACGCTTGGTCAGCAACTTTAAATTGTCATTTTTTAATTCAGCGCAAAACTACCTACGCTGCTTGTGATAGATAGCGTTTTTTAATTCATCTCAACCTAGCGAACCAAACAGCGGTTCCATCATGTTGTCATCTTGTCATAAATTATAACCATGTGTCCATGTAGGCTGCGTTACGGGAAACGGCCATAGGGAATTCCGGTAATATTAAATAATCAGTACAGAATACAGATATACGTATATAATTTTTATTTAAAATATTAAATATAATATACCTAGGTATATATTATTTTATTATACGCATAAACGTATACCATTACGGCATTACCCGTATGACATGTGCGTATTTACTATTTTCTGTACAAAAAAAAATTAATTAATATAAATTCATTACTTCAATATTACTGATAAAGAGAATATTTTTCTAATAAATAAAGTATAAAAACTATAAACTGAAATAAAAATAAATAATTGGTAATTGGAACAAATTTTTTTTTTCCTCATTGTACTGGTTACCTTTATCGCTAAAATAACGGTTTTCAGAAATGTCGATAATTGGTTTTTGGGATATGACTTTATAAACTTTTGTTAATCGGTTACCGGTATCCGCTTTCCAAACTACAGATAAATTAGATAATCGGTTTAGGGTTCCCAAAATTTACGGTTTTTAACTGTTTTTGTGAAAAACCGGTAAACGGTTTTAAGCCCTGGTTTATACGCCCGTTTAGTTTAAAAATAGCTTCGTCGCTCCAAAGCATAGTACGAAAAAATTCTGGATCAGCTTCAGTGCGTATCAAATACCACACGGCACACGCAAAATTCGAGGCGACGGTCCGGATCATCTTCATTTAACGCCTGCAGTAAATGTGGGCGGTACACTTTCAACCCAAGGTTTTTCATCATTCGTGCTGTCCAACGCCTTGATATCCCTAAATCTGCAGGTAAATCTGCAGACACACTTACAGTAGATTGTGCTGGATTCTCGACATACGACTGCGCAACGTACATCATGTTTTCATTTGTTGCTGCTGTTCGAGGACGGCCAGAACGTGGAGCGCATCAACGACTGAGCCATGTTTTTCAAAATTTTTTATCAATCGGTACACTGTTTCCTCGTCGTGGGACAGAGCTTTTTGGGAATTTCACCTCAAACTCTGTACAAATTGTATTATAATCAGCATCATATCGGTAATATGCTGATACAAGAAAGAAGCGAATATTTCGAACGTAAATCCATTGCTAGTGCTCGTGATTGCGTACTGGTTACGTACTACAGAACATGTGGACGTCTTCCTAATGATGTAGATTTTTAATTACCTGATTATCACAAGTCTATTTTAGTTACACGCCGTGTAGTAGTCATAAAGATAGCACAATGACCTTTCGCGATAACGTTGCGTGACTTTTGCCCACCCATATTGAACATACAACATGAATAAATTAAAAAGGTGGGCAAGTGGGTGTCGCTCTGCTGTACAGTAGGTTACAAGTGGGTCACTGTATAATGGATGGTATTAAATTTGAATTCAATGATATAATATCATTGTATAAGAAAAACGATTCTGAGTGGTGACGGTATGTCAGTCTATGTATAAGACATATTATATACATATCTATGGTATTAAACAAAAAATTGACCTATAATAGGTACCTATAATAAATTCCAAACTAATCGGTAATCGGAAAAAAAAGTCCCGGTAAAAAAGTCCCGGTAAAAAAAGTCCCACACTAGGAAAAAAAAGTCCCGAAAATAAAGTAAGTTGTGATTTGTATTTTAGTGTGTAAGTGTAATGAATAAAATGCTTGTACATATTATATATTTGTCATCTACCATAGTACCATGATACATAGAAAAATTCAGAAACTTGGTTTGTCTGGGATTTATAAAGAAGATAATAATTTTCGAAAATATTGCGGCATGATTGATGGTTTAGCTTTCCTACCACAGGATAAAGTACTGGACGGAATGACATCGAACAAATAATATGACAGAAGGATGGAATAACCGATTTTTAAAACTTTGTGTACATAAACATCCAACTATTTGGAAATTAATTTGAAAAATAAAAATGGAAATTTCCGCAGATGAAGCAAAATTAGCTTTAGATGCTGTAGGAGAGTCGAAAACTGTTAAAAAACTAGGGCAAACTCGGACAGTAGAAAAACGTCTGCAAAATTTATGTATACAAATACAAGCAGGCAAAATCGGTGTATTAGATTTCTTAACAGCCGTAAGCCATAATATAAGGAAGAGGTGTACCTAATTATTATTTTATTATATGACTTTTTATGTAACTTTTCAATACAAATATTTATTATTTATACTTAAAATTTGATATATTTTCAATCATTTTTATCGGGACTTTGTATTAAATTAAATTAAACTATATTTTAATATGTGATTTAAGTAAGGAATTAACATTTTTTATGATATTTTATGACTTTTTATGTATTTATATATTTATCGGGACTTTTTTTTCCTAGTGTGGGACTTTTTTTACCGGGACTTTTTTTTCCGCTATTCAAACTAATCATATCAAAATATCCATTAGATACTTATAACGCGTTATACATCAACAAAAACCGTGATACTATCATAGATATATAATAGTACACTTTAGAAGTTTCAAGTACCCACGAATAATATTATTCAATCACAACAAAATAACTAAAATCGTAATTCTTGGTTTAAATATGAAATTTTGTCTAAATTTGAAATTAAAATGTCTGTAAAAAATAAGTGTGTTTATATATTTTTTAGATTTTTTTGGTTACAGTATGAATTATTTAAGAAAATCTTTGTTTTAAATTTTCAACTCTTAGTTATAAAAACTGAACATTTTATTATTTTTTAATTCCAACGATTGATAATTTTCGAGATTTTGATAAATTTTGTCAAAATTCCAACTTTAAATGCTTGTAAAAAAAAATCATGCCTATGTATTTTTAATATTTTTCAACTGATATTGTAACAATATATCAGGAGCCTTGTATTAAATTTTTACACTTTTTGGCCCAACAGATAAAACTTTATTGATATTCATAGAAAAAAAAACTAAAAAAATTGAAAGCTGTAAATGTCACTAAACAGCTCAAAAAGAGTCAAAATATTTTCAAAATTGTATGGTGTATAGAAAATGCTAATTTAAACATTCAGTGAAATTTTCATGCATCTACAGTTGTTCGTTTTTGAATTGCAACAAAATAAAGAAATCGCTACATGAGTAATCGAGTGAATATCCAATGTTGTAAAAATTTGAATTTCAAACGCTCATAAAAATTTAACTTGACTGTCCGGTAGAGATTTTTTCATTGATAAAGGTAGATAATCTTATAAGGAATCTTGTGTTTCATTTTCAAATCTTAGATTTAAAAAGAAAAATTAATACAAAATACAAAATAATTAACATACAATGTTTAACATTCAACTTCTATAGTATTTTAATCGATTGTTTTTCTTTATTTTAAACATTCCTCATATAAAAAGTAATATAATAATAGTAATTATACAATTTTTTTTACTTAAATTGATTTCTGATACATTTCCAACCTAAAGGAAACTTTCGAACATCACACTCGTATAAGCGGTTTCCTATAAAGAGAGCTTTAATGTCAATAACATGAGAAGATTCTTCAATTATACCATTTGTTAAATAATTCTGAAATACACAAGCACATACATTTAAACATTATAAACACACGAAAAAAAAATTATATCATTTTTAAATTCAAAAATTTGTCATTTCTATCAAGACTGAAACATCCTATAATAGCATTGAGTACCTACATAATATATACAAAATAGTGATAGGTATTTTCTATAATCAAAAATAAGGAAATAACTTATTACAATGTACAATTTAAATAAATCATTACAAGTTTAAATTAATAAATGAATAAGCATACCTTAATAACATTCATATCAAATGAGTTGTTCCTGCGCCTTATCAACTGTTTTAGATATGTTAAACTTCGGTGTGAAAACCATCTTTTATGTACAGTTTTTATTATCATTGGCATTAAATCAGATAAATTCTTTTTTCTATATTTTGCCCGAGTATTACGATGCTCTGTCAAATTCTTATAAATATAATCTATTTTTAATACCAGAAGTCTATAAAAAAAAAAGTTTGTTATATTTATAATAAGTTACAAATTTAAGGTTTATGTTACAGTAAGATTTTATAAATTTGTCTCTCATACATGTGAACATCACAACATCACAATAATATTCATCGTTTTTGGGAAAATACATTCAAGAAAATATTTGAATATTGTTATGATTTACCATTTCTATACAAGACGCCAGAAGTACATCTAAGAATTAATTTTTATTAAGCTTCTGGCAGTGGCGTAGCCAGGGGGGGTTTTGGGTGTTTAAACACCCCACATTGACATTTTCTTCCCTAATAAAAATATTGTTCATAGGGTTTGGGACTCCTCGCATTATTTTAGATAAGTTATAAATTTGTCTTATGAAATTTTTTAAATGTCTAATCAAACAAAGTTTGAATTTGCATATTTTACTAAAAGTGTTCATTTGAGCGATTTTTCGCATATTTATTCATATTTTGCATTTTTCTAACTCAAATGCAGATACATACAATTGTCGGGAAAAATCGTATTTGGATAACATTGAAAAATATCTTTAAAAATATTATTTTTGGTGAGGTACAATAGGCTCTAATTTTGATATTTGGGGAGGCCGAAGCCTAAAACCATACTATTATAAAATTGAATTAAAAAATTTAGTAAATGATTGGGAGGGCTGTTAAAGTTGTTGGTGGAGCTTGGCTATACGGTTTGCTATATTTTCGTATAGTTATGGTATGTAAGATTTTATAAGTATCTTTATAACAAGACTGTGTTAAAACTATAATTGACATCTACATTCTAGTTTGTACGAAGAAATGAAAATCAGTAGATATACGTGTTCGTTTATTATACGGTGTTCGCATATCACGTTATTCTTTATTACATATTTATTAACCTAGTATTTTATTCCAGTATTTTTAAAAATCAAGTTGATTTATTTCACAATAGTTTAAAAATGTACAAAACATGCAATAGTGTAGTCCGTCCATCACATTAATCAATATAGGTACCTACCTACCTACCTACCTATATTAAAATTAGTAAGCCCGTGTATAAATTATTTATATAGGTACCTACTTATTTTTTAGTTTTTTATTACCAAAATTGTAGTATGTTTATATTAAAGAATATGTAGTATATATTTAAGAATATTTTGACAACTTTGACTGCATCATATTTCGATAATATTTAGTGCAACAAGTCAAGTCCCGAACCCTAAATTTATTTATATACGAAAATTGTAGAAACTTGGTTTTAATCTATACTTAAACACCCCCCGTTTCATAATCCTGGCTACGCCACTGGCTTCTGGGAGAAGCCTAACATTTTTATTTCGGTACTAAAACTGGTTTCTTACAATTGACTAACAATTTTTTTTTTAAATAATATGGCATTTTACACATAAGAGAGACAAATAGAGTGAATATTTATGTACACCCTTCTCAACTAAAAAACATAGGATGTAATACTTTTCTTCTGAAGGCCCAATAGGATGATTTTTATATTCATGGCAATAAGTTCTTGTTGGTAACAATTGAGGATAGATAAATACAGATTTATCATAATATAGCATACACTCTTTTACGTGTAATGGTAGTACAACATAGTCACTGAAAATAACAATAAAAGGCTTAATGATAATTATCATATTAAAACTTAATAATGAGTCAAATAACAATTTGTTGTTTCATGAACAGATATATGAATGTGTTTAAAGTGGCATACATTTTTTTCCCCATAACCCTTATTTATTGGGTTGAAACAATGAATATAAAATAGTCATTAAAACCTACCAACTAAATAAATGTATTACCTATTAATATCATTCTCATCGGTTTTAAGTTCAGTCCAATCTCGAATAAACTTTAAAGCGGAATGTGTGTTGATTGGTCCATACTCTTTATCTTTACAAATAT